TTTTCTATACTATATTCTTTATGAGTAAAGATCAATTTGAGCTAAGCTCAAGATTGACCCACCTAGTAGCAATTGGCTTCTGTTAGATTCTCAACTTACTGAGAATATGAACCCTCTGATCCTTAGCTCTAGCAGCTGCATTGCTTTATTAAAAAAGCCAAATTAATAAAAGCACCGATACAAAAAAATAAAAAAAACAAAGGTAAAAAGGAAGATATGATAAAAAATACAAACAAAAAAAGGGTAAGAGAATATCAAAAAAAGAAAAAAATTTGTTTATTCTAATAATCACTATTATGAGCTCGTAAATAGCTTATAAAAATTATATACTACTAAATAAACTAGTTCCTACTTTAAATTTATCTACATAGTATATGAAAGCTCAAAACTAGTAAAAAAATATTTTTTCAGTTATAAAATATAGGAGTCGATACTCAATCCAAGTATAGAATATTGTTTGATCAGATTGTTGCATTTGAGGTATATACCTTAACGTGTTTGTTGTTCTGTTATACCGATTTGAAAAGTAAATAATACTGACTGTTTTGATGCACATGATATCGATCTTTGGAGAGATAAACTGAAATGCCTACTTTTTACAAAAATTTTCTTGAAAAAAAGTAGTAGGCCAACAAAAATATATGAGGTACTTCTTTTAAGAGTTATAATAATATAGTTTAGTTTCTCTGTTTCTACTTGATATTCTTGCAAAAGGACCCAATAGTGACTTTGCTTCCAAAATATCCTTTTGGTTTGAATATTGAAGATATGAAGAAGTCTACTTCTTTTCTTTTTGCTGTTTCCAGAGACTTCTCTGGTTTGGATACTGAATACACAGAGGAGTCTACTATAGAAACAAAAAGAGGTTTTATCTCTGTACAAACTGTCTACAATACCTGTATCTTAGTATATCATATTTAAGAATTTCATCAGCAATAGTTTGTAGAAAAGAAGCTTGATACAAGATACTGAATTTACTTTTTGTTATACATCTACTTCTCAGTATTTCACATATATAAGCTTCATTGATAGCAAGTATAGAAGTATACAACAGAAGTATCATAGTATCTTCTTTTGATACTTTTTTATAACTTTTTACTGTAGTTCAATTTTTTTGTTGTTGACCAAGAGATTATTAAGGTTTTTAATTATATATTAATATATAAATAATTATATAAAATATTAGTTTATTTATTTTTTTTGACAAAGTTAGCCACTTTAGGGCTAAATTTTTATTCAAGTACTAAAAAAAGAGGTTCGCAAAAGAGCCTCTTATATTAGAGAATATATATATATATATTTTTTTGGTGTTGAAATGATCTCTTTGGTTAATACTTTTTATTTATATTTAACAGATTACTTTTATAGTATCAGTTCTGCATCAACTGTATATATATTTTTATATACATAATCTCAAACTAATATTTGTTATGACCTTAGACCAATTTTATTCTCGAGATAAACCTGCTAGAGCTTTCTATACCCACAATCTGATTAGTCTAGGCTTTAGTAACTTATGCCAATTTTGAGAACAAGTACTTGTAAGCTGCTACTATTATCTACTTCTGCACTTGTAAAGTTTATCCAAACCCAGTACCCACTTTACAGACTATTTAAAGGTACTTCCCAGATTCTAAACTACCAATTCAGATAGCCTAGTAGAGATTTTTGTTTATGGAGTACTATAGATTACTAGTCTTCTAGTATTTGCAATTAAGTAGATTCTTTTCCTCTGGTTCTGGCAGCCTGGTTAGTAGAGTAATAATCTTTTATATAGTACTATTGAAGATTTGTGCTACTCTCTACTCAGTTTTTGCTAATTGAGTATCTGTAACTTTAATTCCTTGGCTTTATACAGATCATTAGAACTTATCGTGGGTGTGTACTTATTAATATCAGCTTGTATACCTTTGTATAACTTATATATTGTATGAATGTCTGATAATCCTTCTAGATATTAGATATTTAATATGATCTTGGTTACAGATTAGTAATCAAACTTATTGTTACAGTAACTATTCCATAACAGAAAATTCAAATTTTGTCAATAGTAGGATTTGAACTCTAAATGTGCTGCTTGGGGGTGTGACAACTTCACTACTTCACTAAATCACTACACCCTAATTAGAGAATATATACTAGCCATACATATACTTTTAGTATTTAATTTAAGTAGTCTAGCTACATAGATTCTATACTAAATATTGTACTTGCAATTCAAATTATAGGTATTGTTTATTTAAATTTTCTGTAATACAACTTATATTTGTATCACCAGAATATCTTCAGAATATATAATTAATTAAAAAAGTTTAAATTCTTGATTTATTCTCTTAGGACTATCAGTATAGTTAACCAATTTATTTTTAAGATATCACTTGCTAAAGCTATTTGTTATTTATTTTTAGCATATAACCTAGTCTTTTTTAGATAGGTTAGTAAATAAGATTTAATCTTTATAGAAGGGTCATACTGTTTAACTACCTGCCCTTGTGAAGTTTATACAAACCCTAGTCTTCTTTTTCTAGTTTACTAGTATCTTCTACTTTTAATACCTTTAGCTAGATAGCCCAAAAGAACACCAGTTTTTTGGTTTTTATATAGTAAATCTTTTTTCTTTAGTTGATACTCTGACAGCCTTGTTGATAAGATATTCTTGCCAAGTATCTGGTTCTTATTTAGTTATATTAGCCTTAGGTACATTCTTTTCAAGTAGCACTATTGAAAATAAAATGTTAGTTTATTATAAAATAGTTTAGATTATAAAAAATATAAAATCTAATATTAACAAAATAAATTAGTCTAAATTATTATTATATTTAGAAGTTGTTATAGGTAGATATAAGAAATATAAAAAATATAATATAAAACAAAAATAATTATAGTTTTAGTATAAAATAAAATTTAAATATAAATAATGAAATAATCTAGATGTCATTGCCAATGATAGTACTGGCCACGTGATAATGCTACAATTAACAATGCAGATGCGTGAGTAACAAACCAAAAAAGAAGATTGAATTTAGTAAATAACTCAAGTGTGTAAAAATAAAAGTTTAGACCATTAAATTATATACTATAGCAATAGATTGTTGCTTGTTATATACAAAATTTCATTTTCAACATTTTTATTTAGTGCATTAAGGTCAATTTAAATACTAGTTTTTGAGTATTTTTACTTTTTTCATCTTTTACACATGTTCAAAATTTATGAACTGATCTGGAATAGTTAAAATTTGTGCTCTCCGATTGGCTATAGTCTTTTTAAGGGTTGTATTACTCACAGTTAAAGTGATAGAACTATAGATCTAGTACTAATTCGTCTGCAAACAATTGCTGTAGATGGTGTTTCTCACATGATCTATAAAATTAGAGGCTACTTTAGTTGTACTAATAAAGTTTTGTGTAATGGCATACATTAGTACAATAAAGAAGCATGCATATTTGATATACAAATACTCTAACCACCTTTTTTATATTAATTAAAATATGTGTATCAGATATATACATGAATGTACATATGTACGTACGTAGACATGGATTTTTGATAATGAATAAGTATCTGGTATCATATCATAAACTATCATATAAATCTTTTTTCAAAAAAATTTTTTTTGATTTTTAATATTATAATATTAGCAATTCAAATCTATATTCCTAATGATAATAATCTTTCTCTCCTAAAAAAGTTTTTAACACCATATACTATGTACCAAAATAATATTAGATTAAGCCTAAAAAAAAAAGGCAAACTATCCTTAATATATAACAATACTATACAAATCTCTTAAAAAAAAAAGAAATAGCAAATACTACTCTTAGCAATACTATTTTAGTAACATATCTTGATCTTTCTTTTCAAAAAAAAAATAGCGAACTACTCTTAGTAGCAAACTACCCAATAATACTATATGGTTCTAACAATATATCTACTTGAACAATAACAAAAAAAACTATATACAAAGCTCAATATCTAATATAGTAGCGAATATAACAAATGGCACAAGTTAGTAATAACAGGGCAAGCGATTCTAATAATAGTGATGAAATAATATGACAGTCTAATATTAGCATTGAGATAATGTATATAAGAAATGATAATGATATGAGAAGTAATAATAATACGAAGAGTGACGATAGTATGAAAAGCAATTATTGTATAAGCGATAATAATGGTACAAGAAGTGATGATGATATACAAGAAGTGATGATAATAGTACAAGAAGCGATGATAATGGTACAAGAAGCAACGATAAAAATATAAGGAGAAATAATAAAACACAATTTGATAATAGTGATAAAATAATTTAATCTACCGATACTAATAATATAATACAGATAGAAAGCTCAACTACCAGATATTTTAATAATTTGTAATACTTATTAGTAATAAGGAAGTACTTATCTTCAAACTTGTTTCTTCTCTTCACAAAAAAGTGTATCACCACCTTTTGTTAGACAAGTTTTTAGAACTTGGGATGATGTTGATAAGTATTTTGAGGAATATGTCTGGCAAGAAAATTTTATTTTTATTAAGATTCAAAATGAGCAAGATCATTTCAAAAATGAACTATTCAGCGACATACTTTTACATGTGATCATCAAGGTATCTATGAGCCTAAAAAAACAGTAATTTTGAAAAACTAGCAAAATAGTAGGTCAAAATAATTGGGTTGCTTCTGGCATATTAATTTAATATTTTTAAAAAAACTGCTATTATTAGCATAACATCAATAGAACTTAGCTATAATTACCTGCCTAACCCTAAAGTTAATCAATATGCTACAAAAAATCGAATATTATCTAAGGCTATTATACAAGAAATCTGCTTTTATATAGTCGAAGGCAATCTTAGTTCAACAATCCAACACAGACTTCTATCTGCTAAATATTCAAATATTACAATAGATACATGTGATATACAGAACATTATACAAAAATACAAGGTGGATCGAATAGAAAAAAATGATGCAACAAATCTTTTAAAGCAATTGCTTACCAAAAAAGCTGAGGAATCAGGATAGAAAGCTTTTTGAGAACTTTATAACCAAACAAATAGTCTAAACAAATTATTTTAGATGTTACCAGAGCAAGTTCAACAGTGGATTATTTAACATGATATTATTTTTAATGATAACACTTATAGGACCAACCAATTTAATATGCTATTTTTTCTTTTCATAGTTGTTGATAACCATTTCTATACTCAACATGCCAAGTACTTCTACCTCTTTACTTTGTTATCTTGACTACTACGATGACTATACAGTGTATATTTAATTGGAATATCTATTTAAAGGAAACCTAATTTTTTTTTTATTACTATTAGATCGCTCAATTTAAATACAAAGATTATCACCAGATATATTATTATCCAGGTTATACACATTATGCAATTCTACAATTAGACTTTAAATTAATTTTATACAGATCTGTATCACCCCACTTATATAAAATCCAGATCATGCCACTTATGTAGATCTTGATTCTGATTGTACCTGTGCACAACGAATTTCTGGGGTACTAAAATTTACTATAACACAAGCTAGATCTCCTAGAACTTCATCCTGAAGTTTTAACCCATGCAAAACAAATTCTAATACAACTTGCCCACTTGCAACTACCCAACTAAACCTAATACATTGTTATATTTATACATAAACTAACACTAAAAAAAAATTATTATTTTTTTTCAAATAGCTTTAGGTTTCTATTGTGGCATAATTACACTTTCAGATCCAAACGTGCAAGTTTACGCATTTCGATCTGATTTTCAAATAGCACATGTTCCAACCTGTCATATTCAATTATATGATCCAGGTAAAGTCGGCTGTAAAATTCTCTTTTCCTTATTCGATCCAACATGTTCAATACCATTATTGAATTTCTGGCACAAGGTTTTTGCACCCTAAACATACCACTTTTATTCCATTCACACTTGACATTACAACAGAACCTAGACAATAGTCCATAACTCAATCCCTTCCTTACTTTCATATCTTCGATTGGACCTTTGACCACATCACTAACTTGGGGTTTCTTTATATCCAAATTACTCACAGTTCGTTTTCAGCGACTTCAGTACTTCTCAAGTATTATTTATGTACCTTCCTTTTTTCCTTAGAAGTGCCTATTCCTCTTTCATAGCATAATCCAACATCAAGTCTCCCATTTGAATTTTCATTTTCAGCAAAATTTGAATAACGTTTGAATGTTCCCTTTTTATCCTTTTCAACACCAATTTCATCATAATAGTGGTAGCCTTCACTAGACATTCCATCAGCATAACTGATATTCACATCCCAAAACCATCAAAGCATATCTGTCTCACCTTCAGAAGTAGCAGACTTCTGATCTTTGGATTCATCAATGTCAGTTCTATTGGTTTCACCATTATCAACAGCTTTTTGATGATTGTATAATGCTTTACTTTCATTATTACTAATATTTTTAGAGAAATCAACCTTATCATTATAGTCCAGGGCTGTTTTATTGCTGCTCATAGGTATATATTCATTATGTTTTACTTTAAACATTCCTCCCTTTTCACTTTTATTAATAGTCGCATTTCCTTTCACATTCTCTTTCATTGCATTATTATCCATTTTACATATATCGATCTTACCATTTTTATCGCTCAGATTGTTACTGAAAGGCTTAGTCTCTATTAGCAATTTCAACAAACCTTTCATCATAGTATTTATTTGTATTACTACAGCCAGTGGTGCTTCCATCAATACAACTGTTCTATCTTCACTAACAAGTTCTCTCTCTTGGGTTCTTTCATCTTTTGATGAGATATATCAATTCTGATTTCATTTTTGTAACAATAACTAGCCATATATATTTCATCACTATGACCCTTGTCTGCAGGTTTTTGATAATACTTGAACTTCTTTCTTTCATTCCCTTCATTGGATCCTTCAGATTTGTCTATTCCTTTTGTTCATTCTTTTGTTATTGCATTACTTTGATTGCTCATACTAACGCTTACCCTTTCTTTCGCTCTCTCTTTATTCTTCCTAATATTCGCACCACTAAATCAATTCACCTTTCTATATTTCATAATGTTACTTTTCTTTTTATCTACAAATCTAAGGAACCTTATGTGTCTACTTTACTAACCAGATATGTATCATCCTTTCTTTTTTTCGTCTATTACTTTTATTAACCTTGCCTTTTTTATTTTTAGGTACCTCTACATCACGGTCCCTATATTCATGCTTTATTTGATCTAGACAATCACGAGCTAGATGTCTTTTATATCAACATACATAGCACAGACGGTGTCTAAAATACATGATGATTTACTTGCAACAACTTCAAGTTTTTCATGGTTTCAACCACCACTTTCACCATATTTTCGACCAACAACTCCGCAAGATTACTGGCATTCATGTTTATTCATTTAGCTTCACCACTCAGGTATGTATTAGCTTTCATGTTTATTGTCCTTATTTATTAACTTTTTACTAACAATATTCTTTTGCTATTCCTTGATCATGATCTTCTTACTTCATAATGGCAACTGAGCACCTTAATTTCACTGATCATGGCCTCTTCAACAACCACGAGCTTCTTTGGACCTTCATACAGCAGGACTTCAATGGTTTAGCAAGTAGGGCTGTTCAACTACCCAGATCCTTGTATCTAAATCGATTATGATACTACGGGATCTTTGTTCTTCTGGACTTTAATTTTTGCTTGCTTAGCTAATCACACAGACTAGGGATAATGTGCCAAGTACTTCCACCTCTTTACTTTGTCACCTTGACTACTATAATGACCACACAGTGTATATCTAATTGGAATATCTATTCAAAGCGAAACTTAATTTTTTTTATTACTATTAGATCGCTCAATTTAAATACAAAGATTATTGCCAGATATATTATTATCTAGATTATATACATTATGCAATTCTACGATTAGACTTAAAATTAATTTCATGCAGATCTGTATCACACTACTTATGCAAAATCCAGATCACGCCACTTATATAAATCCCAATTCTGATTGTACTCATACGCAACGAATTCTCGAGATACCAAAATTCACTATAACACCATACTCTATGAGTATTTATTACTGATTTTAATCCTGCTATAGACATTGCTATAGACAATCAGTATAGTGATTTATATTCACTTTACTGTTTTTATTATATATCACAGAACCTTATACATAACCTTAAAGTGCCTCTTAGTAATACGTTTAATAATTTTTTAAAAGAATTTTTTAGATACTGTAATACTCTTTCACTTGCTAAATTTGAAATTAAATGGCATAAACTTATTGAAAAATATCTAAATTCAACCAATTATCTTAATTCTGAACTTTACTCTAGTAAGAAGAAATGGGCTAAGGCTTATACAACAAAATTCTTTATGGCCAGTATTTCAACAACTTCACAAGTTGAAAATGAAAATTCAGGAATAAAGAATGTGTTTCAAGCTTGTTCTAGCCTTTGTGATCTTGCAATTATTTTAGACTAGCGGCTCTGTGATAAAGCATAATATATTAGCTATAGTGAGTGGTACTATACCAATACAAGTACTTAACATACTAATACCTTCGCTAAATATTTTCTTGAAATTGATCTTATTCTTAAGAGTATCTTATAGAAGAGATATTTTCTCGTCAAAGACATAAAATTATTCAATTACTTTATTATTGTGCTAAAGTTGAAAGTGAACAATTACTTAGTAATGAATCTGTTGAAGAGGAATATGATTCATTTAACCTCTATCCTTGAAGATATTTCTCAAAATGAAGTTATCAACATATATAGTGTCTGAC